GTGATAGGATAAGAAATTATGTTTTGGGATATTTTACAAGTTACTGGAAGGTGATTAGAATCGAAATAAGCATGGGTAACCAATTGGCTACAAAGTATGTCTTACTGAAGAAAAGCATGTTGGGCTGTTTGGATATTGAAAAGTGTAATAACCTGCAGAACAATCATCAAACAGAATATTACCATTGGAATTACTTTGAGCATTATTCCATGCGCGGTGTTTTGCACTAAAATCACCAATAATGAAGAATTTAAACCTATGACCAGTAAGTTTCTGAAGGTCACCCTTGAGCAAATTCTGTTGCTGGGCTACGCATTGGAATGGAAAATAGGCAGCTAAAACATAAGTTGTCCAAATTTTGTTTCAACAGAAACTCCCAAAGTTTCAAAAACTTTGGTTTCAAATGATGAAAGTATTTGATATTTGATACGTCTATGAACAATGATGGCAACGCCACCACAGGCTCCATCAAGACGATCATTTCGATAAATGAACTCTCAAAAATTTAAATAGCTCGTCATCATTATCTGAATTTTAAAGTTATGGAGATATTGTTCGCAAATTTATTCCAGTTTGAATAGCATCAAACATGCAGTTAGTTTTCAGCATACCAGTAATCAGAATTAAATTTATGTTGGCAAGAATGTTGATACCGATTTCAACCAGCTGCAATAGCAGTATAAGTAGCTCTATTTACATGCTGAACATTGTTAGCAACAGATATAGATACAGAATTTGGAGAATAAGAGTATATGTTACTCGTTGACCGCAGATAAATTAGTACCTGGCTGGGAACGAGGAGCGTTTCCTACCTGTCGCTTAAAACGCAAGTCTTACATTCCCAAAAATTGGACAGATCTCTCAAGACAACCTCATGTGTTCAGGTTGTCTTGAGAGATTCTGTTTTGGTGTCGTAAGTAAAAAATGTGTTGTTTTTCAGTAAGATACTTGAGAAGAGGTTTGAACCCGTCCAAGGTTTCAGCCAATACACGGCATTCACCCCGACGGCCAATTTGAAGTTGAAGCAGAAGTGGTTATCACAATAGGAGGGACCTTTTCCTTCTTGGCATTAAGCCCGGAAAGTTAACGTGAGTATATCAAATTGATTACTCACATAAATTTCATCATAAGGGGGAGCAAGAGATTGCCCTTTTTTTGCATTTAGGCGCCATGTCGGCAGAAAACCATTTCTTCAAATTGACTTTCAAGCAAAATACTATAATAATCTTAGGGATCGAAGAGGAATCTCCAATTTAATTTGTAGGTAATTTTGAACACTGAAAAGTGCTGTTTAAATGTGTTGTAGGTTAAGGTAGCAGTAACACTTCCTTCAGCAAAAAGAAAAAAAGATTCACACATGAAGAGAGCACGATGCGGACTGATTTTTTGTCTATTTAATTTGATGCTTTCTTCGGCATGTATGAAGCTCTACTTAACAGCAACATAGAAACAATAATAAAAAATATAATTGATGCAACTTGTAATTTTAACGGTACCTTAAATCACATGTACTCTAAAATGCAATTTGTATAATCACATCAATATTAACCCGATGCTTCTGTTTGTGCACGGATACAACTTTTCAATTTTCATGTTCTATTATAGAAGTAAGTAACTATTTATAGATACCATATTTTTTCGTTGAGTGGATTCTGATTATTTGAAAACTGTTGCATTCAATTTAAGTGTCTTTAAAGACCGTTGACGGAAGAATACGACGATGCAAAAATAAAATCTGGTGTAATTAAAATATCTGGATAAATGTTGCGGTTATGTGAAGCTAAATATCTTATGTATTAGCGCTTCTCAATGATATCATACATCAGCTAAAAAATACATATCCCGAATAATCAATACCAATGTTACGTAATATGAAAAAGTTACAGACAATTTATGATGTCCGTTTTATAAACTGAACAATCCTTATAGCAATAACAATGCTGGTTCTAGTAAGACACAGAAGCCGGGCGTGCAGTCCTTTTTTGAATACCATCGCCATGTAATTCGATTTTTTTAAAGGATTTTCGCTCCACAAATTTCAATTCTAACTTTATCTGTTTTCCTCAACTGCCATTAAACAAAATATGCCCCCAAGCAGGAATAATGTGAACTAGTTGTCAAATGAGAAAAAAATCATTTGAATTTATTAAAACTCAATCCAAATCCAAAGATGAAGACCCCTTCAGCACATAACATGTGTGGAACTTCATGCAAGATAGCTGCCTAAAAGTTGACCCCTTTTTTGTGTTGCCTCAGTGGTATAACTGGCATAGTTTGACATCGATGTGTCAAAAAAAAAATCGTGATATCGACACTCAGTGTTCATAAGGACCAATGTCAAAAACGTAAACAATGGCTTCTTTCGTAAATTTCTCGTAGTTCAAAGCCAATCAATGTAAGCCACTAATTCTATCGGATAGGAGGACTCTCGCTCTACACAATCATCTTTGTAGTTTACTTGAGTGAGTTTCCATTATCGAGAAATTCGCCGAAAAAGTAATTATTTACGTTTGCGGCATTGGCCCTTATGAAAGAAAAGCAGATATATGGTTGCATGCTCAGTAAGCATTGATGTTGACGGCGACTCTGAAACTCTTTACTCCTATGGTAAAATCCCATGAGCATCTGACAATCTATGCTTCAAATCTAGCGAGTTTTGTCTTATCTCATCATTCCACCATGATACCAGCAAGCCGGCGCCTTTTCATGGAAAGATTGACAGTATCTTAAGGGATTTTCATAGGAGTGAAAGGGTAAGGAAATGTTCACCATGTTTCACAAACAGGCTGATGTTTGCTTATAGGATTTTATGGATTATACCATAGAGGAAAGAGTTACAAAGTGAACGAAAAGGCGATTTGTCAATTGTCAAGGTAATGTGCAATGAGTGTAAAAAGATGAACCCCAGAAAATTTATCGTCTCTTTTGTTCCTCCGCTGTTTAAATTGTTGACGGAGTTTGCTGTTTACAGCTCATCTGATAATGCGGCCATTCTTTTTTCGACTAGCTCTACTGGGGGGTTTTAAAAGGATATTTTCACTAGTATTTTCAAGTCAATCAGAAGTCAACCAAGCGTGCTGTTAAACAGTAATTTACTGTAATGCAAACAACATGTATGCACTTAACTCCAATTTTGCCCAGTCGTTTATTTCCTCATATGAAACCTAATAAAATCAAAGATTGATGCAATTAGTTACAAAAAAAAATGTCCAAAGAAAAAATAGTATATACTTTTGTATTCTAAGTTAACCACAAAGAAAAAAATTGAAAAAATGAATCCGCGCAAATTAAGAGTAAAAAGAAATGAACGCGTGAAGTTTTCCCACTTTTTTGGCCATAATAACAGAAAAAACAATATGTTTTGGTATCAAAATTGGGCTGTGAATAGTTGGGTGGCAGCTCATCGCAAAAAAAATCGGCAAATTATGTCTACTTTTTTATTGCAAACGTAAATATTTTGCCTCGTGAAGAAAGGTGATAATTTTGTTAAAGCTAGCTATATCATTATAAATAAATAACGTAAATGATTAAGGAAATACTAAGACATGAATTAAGGAGTACTAAGAAGACATACCATTAAAAACCACGTTAGAATTATTTTAATAAAATTGACTACCCCCTTGATCCTCTTACTCATTTTACAGCTGGTATAATCAATTTAACAGATTGATGTCCTTCTATACCACTTGAAATCACTGAAAATGGGTGGGTTTTTGATGATCGAGTTCCACATATGTTATGTGCCTTCAGGCTAAATCAAATGAAATGTAACAACAAATCAATCCTATCCTTCAACAATGTACCCCTCTAACCTCGAGTATTCGGCCCAAGATATATGTGAATTTTGTTAAAAACAATGAACAATGAATTATTGGCTCCGTAAAGCTAACGCAATTGAACCTTCTAAATAAACGAGCTAGATAAAAAAAAACAGCAAATCAAATATATTATGTTATTAATATGATCCACTCTTTCGCTTTTAGAGAAATTTTAGCGATGAAAGCGCTTCTGTGGTCAAAAAGGTAACAATGTATTTGTTTATGTTCACGAGGGGTAACAATAGTATAATATTTTAAATGTTTGTATTTCAGCATATTATTTTGCTTTGTGAGTAGTAAACAGCGGAAAAATTTTCATCTAAAACACAAAATTTAATTAATGAAAATAATCTGACTATTATTTTTGTAAGAATATTCGCGCCCCTCGATTGAAATTGTGTGATTGTTCCTGATCTTTTTCAACACTAGATGGTACGTGAAGCATTATTTTTCGAATCGCCATTGCAATGTATGGAAAAGGCATGAATGGGTCATATTGTTAATAAGATATATTTGAGCAAATGTAACACGTTCATCAATGGAAATAAAAAGTTATGTTACCACAACCATTGCTGTAAATTCTCAAAATCATTTGAACATTTTTGATGAAACTGAGAAAAGTAGCTATTCGCTATCAAAGGGGACCTCCTCCGAATGGGTGATATCAGTTTCTTAGTCATTTGACGAAGGCATGGCTCATTCTCATTTGAGAAACGCTATATATCATTCAATTGAGTGTAACCTACACACAAACGGAGGTCTGGTCGACATTCCGGCGAAAAAGCTAAGCCAACCCGACACCATCCTGACTTCTATCAAACCCCAACCCGATGTTGACCCGACATTGACCCAAAATAAACCCAAAATAAACCCAAAATTGACCCGACAACAACACGACATTGGGTTGACATCGACCTTAAATTAGCCTGACATTGATCCGACATCGGGTCGACTTGTCTGTTCGGGACCATTTTGCTGGATTTATTCCATACTCCACTGTCGTATATCAAATGATACTGAGTCACTCAATTGACAGTGACAATGAGCTTCGAATGAGAAAGGGGCTCTTCAAATTATGGTCATGTGAGAATTCGTTTTCACAGGATTGATTAAATGGTCGTAGTGGTTCATCTTCAATTGAATGATATGAAAATTTACAGCACTGATCACAACTACTCCTACCTGCCATTCGAAACGAAAACCTGCTGATTTTTCCGCCTAGGAGCTATATTCGCGCTGGAATGCGACGGCTTGGAGTTCGAATTGTCGAAAATATCCGTCACTTCATCGCCATTTTTCATCGCACCTTTGGCAAATGGTACCGTGTTCGGGTACTTGGAACTCTTACTATCCTTCCCGAATGAAACCGTGCCGAAAAGATCTTCCAGTTTAAATTCTCCGTTGGATTTCTTGGTTGACTTTATTCGACTCCTGAAATAATTTTCCATTTAATAATACCTCGTATGAAACACGTAGTGCCTGAAATTTACCCTAGAATGCCTTCAAGGTCATCTTCAAAACTGTTACCCTTAACAGGCTCCCAGCTTCTACTGAAGTGGTTCTGTAAGCCTCGATTCAGGGAAGGGTTCTTCGTTATGTTTGGCTTAATTTCTTCGTCCGTCTTTCTCGATTGCAAAACAGGCTGTTTGGAAAATGCGTTGTACACTTTCGATTCGTTCAGAAAACTTTCGTTGAATAAATCATTTTTTGAGGTGCTGTTCTGTTTGTGTAGGTAGAATCCATTGTTGAAATAACTCGAATCATCACTATCGACAGCTCGATTTCCACCGCCCCTGCCCACATTTCCCGAATTTCTCGTCACGTAAATATCGTTCACTTTTTCACCTTTGCGACCCACGTACACTTCCGAGGGTTTTTCCTCGATTTTCACAATTGCTGGTTTAATGATTGAGTAGCTCGTCACTGAACTGCCATTATCGTTCACTCCACTGTCGCTTCGATCGGTAATCGATTTCGTGATACTATTGTTCCGATTTAGCCGACCTTGATGCTGATTACCGTGACCAAGGCTACCATTCAGGCCTAAATTGTAGTTGTTAAGCATTTCATTGAGCACACTGTAATTGATTCCACTCTGGTACTTCCCGTTACTTTTCGCACTGTCGTTGAGTTTTCCATAATCTAGCGAAGTACGTTTTTCCGTCACCGAAGGATTCTGGGAAAGCCGTGAAAGGCTCAGCATAGAATTGATTTCATTCAGTTCACTATTACTGATGGATTTGTAGACACTTCCATTGATGTTTGCATTGTTCACAGACACATTGTTGGGATTAACACTGAATCTGCTTGCAATTCCTCCATTTTCAACTTGAGGTGCATCCACGATCGATATCCTAGCACTGGGAACTCCATTGCCGTTCTGTTGAATCTGCGGTAGTTGAACGTTTCCATTGCTAACAATGGATGCCGAAGTTCGCTGTTTTACGGACGCATAGTAGGGATACTTTAAAGATTGCTGGGCAGTTGGTCGTTTATCTGGCTCCCATAGAAGGAAATCTTCTAGCAGTTGGATGCCAGACGTGCTGGCTCGAATCACCAGCGATTCCAGGGGAATTTTGGGACATTCGGGGAAACGGAACTGAATCGTTGTTGCTAGTTTATGTCCATCGGGCCAGTCATTCTGTTGTAGCGAGAAAATAGACAGTTTTAAATTCAAAGCAGAGGCATTAGAAAATGATAAATGGTAACCTTATCCGGTGTTCCGAGTACCGAGCATATTTTGAACAGCTGATCAACCTCGCTTGATCCAGGGAACAGTGGTCGGAATGTGTACAACTCTGCCATGATACATCCCACCGCCCAGAGGTCGATTGCACTTCCATACCGCGTCGAGTGCAGCAGCACTTCCGGCGCACGATACCTGTACACGTGATGAAAGCAAATATAATTAATGGTAAGAATTGAAGTCTGCGAGAAATTGTTTGCGCTAGCTGTAAAAGACGTTGAACCGACAAAAATAGAACAAATCCAACTGTTTCAATAAAGCACCACAAGAATTTAGGTTCGTGACGCTAATTGTTGTTTTCTACGTTCGTCTATTTGCAGTTAACATCAGGTGCTATGTATGGCAAAAATGCTGCCTTAATAAGAGTTTAATTATGCCATAGCATGCAGAGGGTCAATTGAAAAGGCAGCTAAATTTTGATTTTCATACACAAGCAACTACTCAATTCAGGAAACTAAATATAGAACCAGAAGAAACCGAATAACACTCATGTCACGAAATATCACGGGAAACCAAAAAAAATTGCATGGAGACCTAAAAATACCACAACCAAAACAAATTAATTCCATGCATAATGAAGGCCCACATGCTGATAACCGCCCGCACATATACGCTTCGCTAAAACCTACCATCGCGTCGATACGTAATCGGTGTATGGCGGCCGGGATCTGATTTCCCGAGCCAGGCCAAAATCGGCAATTTTCACCAGCTCCGGCCCGCAGCACAGCACATTCTCCGGCTTCAGGTCCCGGTGAAAAAATCCATGCCGATGCATGAACGCCAGACCCGTCAGGATTTGCTGCAGGATCAGTCTTATCGTTGCCTCGGGGAAGTGATTCTCGCGGTCTTTGATCAGCTGGTAGAGGTTCTCCTGCATGTACTCGAACACGAAATAAAGAACGTCGTTCTCGCGGATGACCTCTTTCAGCTTGACTACGTTCGCGTGGGAGAGTTTTTTCAGGGACTGGAAAGAAAACAAATGGATAGTTGAATTAGTAATAATTTGTCCTTTCTTTAATTGGTTTCCGTACTGAGTACCAATACTACCGCCACCAAGGAGGCAGCCCCACATCTGGACCCTACCTATCGACCCACTGGACTGGGGACCAGCGGCTTTACTTCCCTTCCGACGGGACGCTTAATCAGAGATTTTATGCCTCAGAAAATCTCGACGGCATTTTATCACATAAAGTTAATAAAATTTGAGTATATTGTGAAAGTATCATAAAAACCATTGCATCACTTAGCGACTTTCATTTTTGTTTTGAGTCAAATGTTTCATTTTATGGTAGTAAATTGAAAAAAAACGGGCGCATTAACACACTCGTGCTGAATCGGTCCAAAATCAATAGGAGGTGACATAATTGAACCCAACTATCAAGAGTTATTTTTGTTTAAATGCGAATGTGGTTATTGCGTCAATTAAATCCGTTTGAAACCGTTTCTTAGCTCAAAGAAGTGATAAAATGTAAAAATTAATTTTAATATTACATCCAAAAGGATGCACTTCAATCATATAGTAAATCTCATGTAATTTTATGGCCACAACAATAAATAAATGCAGTAAAAGCAGCGTAATGTCTATTCATGCACTGTATTAATGATAGTTGTGTTCTTTTTGGCAACTAATATTACACCATATTTTCGACACGATTGAAGTGCATCCACTTTGATGTGATATCAAAATATTTTTCGGCTGTGTAAGGTATAGCGAATATATATTTGTGCTTATCTAGAGAAAACATATTTTCGCCATTCCCGCTAACCAGTACATTTAGGTGGTTCAAAATATGTTCAAAACCTGGTCTAAAATATGATTTTACAAGTGGCTTGAAGTAGAAAATGTAGGTCAAAATATGTTTTTGGTAGTCCACAATAAAATTGTGTATTGCAAAAAGCGTCTTCAGCTTTGTGGTATTTCATGCTTAATTGTTTGTCAATGAATTGTGTAACGATTAGTTCAACAAAAACATTCAGCTTTTTGACCAGAAGAATTAACCAGTTATTGTAACAAAATCATATTTTTTCGAGAAATTGTATGAATTTCTAAAGCGGTCCAAAAAATCTCCGATTTTGTTAATAAAAGCAGTTCAGGCAATACTGTTTTAAAGTACCAGGATTTAGCTCGAGTTGACTGTAAAAGTAACCATGCATAAAAATCATACGTGATTTTGGATTTCATACGAGAAATGTCATGGTAGTTTTTATACCAGACTGTAGTAAACAAGCAGCATTATCCAAAATCAATAATTACGTGCAAAGCGTTCTTTGGTTTTTCAGTTTTGTGGTCACTCAAACAATAAGAGAAAATCCCAAACCTATAAAAACCTTGTGCGACCCAGAAATAACTCCTTCAGACATGCTTCAACATACTCAGAACGCTGGCAATTTTGCTCATTCCTGATCAAATAAAAATGTTTTGGATTTGCAAGACTTCGTGAACTAAATAAATACAGTTGATGTTTCCACATTTATTGAAGCCATTGAATGTCATGTAGCAAAAGTTGAATACAGGGTTGTTATAGTGATAATTAGAGATTGTGAGTTACAAGAAGGCATCGTGAAGAATGTGTTTGATACATGAAACCTGTCAATATTGCTTTCAGTGTGTCACAATAAGCGAATGAACGAATCGTGGGCGCTCACTCTGAGTGAACACTCGCGAATCATAAGATTGCTGATTGTGACGCTCTGAAAGCGAAATTGACAGGTTTTGTGAGTCAAACACATACTTCACGACCTCTTCTTGTAACTTACAAGTACTAATTATCACAAAAAAACATTTAATATTTTCATAATTCGAAAAAAAACATTTTTTATAGCAAGTGAGTGGAAGTAACCCTGGATGAATGTACGTAATAAATAGCTGTATTTTAAAAGCGAGCGCTTTAAATGTTCATTAAACCAAATCCAAAAATATACTGCCTATTTGAATCACAGTTTCTTTTCAGTTGCACAAGTTTTAAAAAGTAACATGTTACATCTTTGCTTTTATGTATGTGATCAAGTTATTGTTATGAAGAATTTAAAATATGATCTATTACGGTTGCTTATGAAAAATTAATCAAAAATGTTTTTTTTTTAGAATTTATACATGGGCCCAATATAATTTTTATGTCGGTGAAACAACCTTAAGCGACCTTTCTGAAATGACACAGTCTAAATTTAAAAATTATGTAGAAACAATTTAATGAATTTAATTCTCGATATCGATTCTACACACTCAGAAAAACTCATGTAAATTTAGGTGTTCTGAGACTGACATATACGAGCGTCAATTTTGACATAAATTTGAGTCAGAACAGACGCGAAATATAACTTAATCAAACGTAATTTTTGTCGAAAAACGAACTTTTCAGTTTCAGAGCACTTAAAATTACATGACATGTTTGTTTACGGTCTCATCTTTTATATCAAAGATGGATTCCGTCACTTGTAAAATTAGTTATTTCTAAGTGTGTAGGCTATTTCATCGTTGCTACAATCATTTTGATGGTATTACGATCATCTGGACGCTTCCAAAGCCATTTAGATTATTACAACTTATTTTTAGTGACGGGTTGAGCGGTAAACGAGACTGTTTGTCACCCTCAGTGTGTGCGTGTCTTTCCGAAGAGAAGAAAAACACTTTTCTGCCTGTAGATTTGAAGAAATACTTCAAGTATCCTCATCCATATGTATGAGTTAGATAAAGAAGTGTGCGTTTGACTAGTACTGTCGCATTAATGGTCCTTCGCTCATTTTCAACTTCTATTAAATTTTCATACTGCCGTACTCTCGCAGAACTATCATCCTATCCTCTTCAAAACTTTCTCTAGCTAATAAATCATTACACTAAAGCTTCATGTTAGCAAATATATCATATTAACAATATGATCCATTCCTGCCTTTTCCAAATATTGCAATGGCGACCCGCAAAATATCGCTTCACGCACCATCTAGCGTTGAAAAAGGTCAGCAACAATCATTAAATTACAGTCGAGGGGTGCGAATATAGCACTTATTACAAAAGTAAGAGTCACATTATTTTCATTAATTACATTGTGTATATTACTTTAACATTTGTCTGACATGTCACTGTTGTCATCAAATAAAATAATATGCTGAAATACATTCATTTGAAATATTAAACAAATTTTCATTGGTTCACCCCTCGTGACGATAAACAAATACATTGGTAGCCTATTTGGCCACAGAAGTGCAGAAAACACGACTTCAACAAACTGGACACAATGTTAGATTATAAAAGTCCTTCACGCTGCCGGTAATGATAGTGTCTTGTTGGAGTCTAGTTTGTCCAAGATAAATCTGAAGGAACTTTTTTAAACGGATATCATTCTATGGTCCAAGTGTTGAATAAGGGATGTCGTGTTCGGTGGGAGAAACTGAATTTGTACATTCGGGTGTTCAATTCTGAATTTATTGGAGGCGTTATCCAAAACGAAAAGAACTTTAAATGGCAACCCTTTTTTGCGATGAATACTCTTTGGCATCAGGAATGAAGCAATTTCCAAACCAATAACCAGTCACCGGTTACCGGAAGTCACCATCTTGGATCAAAATAGCGTCAGACATGGATTTCCGGTCCCTACACGTCACCGCGATTCCAAAAATACCCATATTATGGGGTATTTGACAGCATTTTTATGTTTTCTGTAGCTGCAATTCGCCATCTTAAAATTTCAAAATGGTGTCAGACTTGTAGTGCCGGTCTCTAGACGTCACTCGGATTAAAAAAAAATACCCATATTTTGGAGTGTTTCCCAGCTTGTCTATAACCGGAAGCCACCATCTTTGATTTCAAAATGGAGTCAGAAATTGATTTCCGGTCCCTCCTCGTCACCCCGTTTTTAAAAAATATGCATATTGTGGGGTATTTGATGGTATTTCCAAGTGTTTATCTAACCTGAAGCCACCATCTTGGAAATCAAAATGGTGACAGTCATAGATTTCAGTCCCTACACGTCACTCCGTTTCCGTAAATACTCATATTGTGGGGTATTTGATAGAATTTTCAAGTTTTTCTGTAACCGGAAGCCACTATCTTGAATTTAGAAATGGCGTCAGACATCGATTCCCGGTTTCTACACGTCACCTCGTTTCCAAAAAATACCCATATTGAGGGGTACTTTTCACAGTACTTTTCTGTTTTTCTATAACTGTAAACCACCATCTTGAATTTCAAAATGGTTTCAGGCATCGATTTCCGTTCCCTACACGTCACTTTAATTCCAAAAATACCCATATTGTGGGGTATTTTCTAAAACCAGAAGCCGCCACCTTGGATTGCCAAATGGCGTCAACCATCGATTTCTGGTCCCCAAAAATACCCATATTGTAGGGTATTTAACAGTATTTCCACCTCGTTATTTGGGATTTACTTCGTAAAAAGAGGGGCGTAAACTTAATACTGCTTAAAAAAGACTTCGTGCACAGAGGTTTCTTTGAGATAATTGGTTTTGTGATGTAAAGTTGATTTTGAAGATATGAAGCGCCAATAATTCTTTGATGTATTTTTTTAGCGTCTAAAATTATATTTTAAATGTTGACGCCATTAAAGTCAAATTTTATATTTATAAAACTATGGTGTGTTGCCGTTTTTAGAACCGTTTTGACATTTTGGGATCATATAAGCGTTCACATAAAAGCCTTGCCCTTCGATATATTCGCAAATATCTTCCAATATTTCCAAATATCATAGAACACAGTCGGATTCGAAGTAATGGAGTCAGAGTCGTGGAGTCAGAGTCGGAGCCAGAGTCTGACTCCTACTCCTACATAATCATTATTTTAAACTACACACTTAGAAATAACTAATTTTACACGTGACGGAATTCATCTTTGACATAAACAAATATTTCATTTAAAATTAAGTGCTCCGAAACTAAAAAATTCGTTACTCGACGAAAAGTACGCTTGATTGAGTTAAATTTCACGTCTGTTATGACTCAATTTCATGTCAAAATTGACGCTCGTATATGTCAGTCTCAGAGCACCCAGATTTACATGATTTTTTCTAAGTGTGTAGAGCTGCTGGAAATTTGGTCCCCGTCAAACTTTTTTGGCTCATAATAATTCGATTGATTTTGTGTGTCTATCATAAAATTTACCAGTACCATCTAAACCGAGTGCTACTGTTGATTTTGATCTAACAAACCTCTTCATCACCACAGCTTATGGTTTCGATGTTTTTATCACGGTACCGTGGGATAAGTAAATAGTGGTGAGGCAAGTGGGTAAATGCTCTTAAACCACAATAGCAACAGAAAATGTGTTGTTTTGTTGGCCCCTCAAGAACTCATTACGAACCAAAGGATAGTTAAAAAAAATCTGTGCAAGGGACTTTTCTAAAGGAATCAACAGACGCTGCCAGAGAGAGACTTTTGAAAACCCTCTAGGCCCAAGGAAGACAACCCTATATGCCTATGAGCGACGTGTAGGAAACCCTCGATCTCTGCTATATGCAGTCGAATTATATGTTACTGCAAATGTATAGTATAAGAAATTAATTCCGTTGTATTTTGTCTTTCTTTATAAGTCTTTGTTTGTGTTGTCCCCCGTCTCGATGAGTCTCATTGACGCCCACTTGTCACCATAGCCAGTAGAACTCCAGACAAATCTGACAAATCTGATGAGACAACGAAACCCCGCCCCCAAGCTCCTTCCCTGATACTATCCTTCGACAATGTACCCCTCTAACCTCGGGTAAGCCGCGAGTATTCGGCCCAACTCCTACTAGGGATAGAAATAAGTTAATTGTGTTACAAACAATGAATTATCGGCTCCGTAAAGCTAACGCGATTGAGCCTTTCAAATAAACAAACTAGATAAAGGAATCAACATTATTAAAATTAAAAAAATAATTAAGTTATTAATCTATAGCGCAATAAAAAAGCACTATATACTAAAATTGATTCACATCCAGTGTTCATTGCAAGCTGGTTATACTCACAGTTTCATAAATTTAATAACAGTTTGATGCTGTTATTTTAAAAATGGCCAAAAGTCCGAACTTGCGCCAAATTTCCGTTATTAATGAAATACAAATTTGTAAAATTGTTTGTCCATGTTTATTGGTAAGTATGATCAATTAGGCAGAGAGTTTATATTGATTTCGATAGGTGTGATAGAAGCTTGATTTTAATATCAATTCAAGAGCCACATGTGAAAAGGGCATACAAGCTTTTTGTAAACAAACCATTCTGGGCCTTTTTCTCGCCAACCGAGGGTCACCCACGCAAACCAATAACATCATTGGGAAAGGAAAAGTTTCCCTACCCGGTGATGTTGATGGTTTGCGTTGGTATCATATGGGTGGCGAGAAAAGGGCATAAGAAGGTTTGTTTACATAAAGCTTGTATGACCTTTTCACATGTTGTTCTTGTAATCATTTTCATTCAAGTTTTAGCCAATTTATTTTGTAACTGAGACCGTTTATTTTTTAAGAAGTTGTATACAATTTATTTAAAACTTTGGCATGTCATTGAAACATGTAAGCTAATTTGATTGATCTATTATAATACTTGAGGCCAATTTCTTTGAAAAAAAAACGATCGGTTGACTAGAGAATTCTAAACGGTACTTACAAAAGCTGTGACTATTTGAAAAAAGAGAGTTGGAGTCGGAGTTTTCCAAAATCGAACGGGACTGTATTTTGGATTTTTCAAGTCATGGACAATTTAAATGTTATTTTGACAAACTACTATTGGCGTTCCAAGTTGGCTTGCTCAACATACTAAAAACCAACAGGCAAGCTGATTCCATCGTCTTATATAAGACATCGATCTTTATTAGGCGCAGCTACAAAGCAGACCATGCTGGAGGTGGCTGGGTTCGATTCCCTGTCCGGTCTAGGAAATTTTCGGCATCAAAAGGTCTCTATTAACAACTGCGGAAGTGCATCTAGAGCACTAAATTGAGAGCACGTAATAAGCTAATTTGCGATAAGCAATAGTCTTGAAATACAAGGAGAAGAAGAATTCTCCTAGATTTTAATGTCCTAACTTTAAGATTAATTTTATATATTAAAGAGACTTTCAGCCCTTGGCTGGTTCGTATATTGTTAGCGTTTTGACTATTATTTCATCATTTTATCCATATCCATGCGTCCAATGTTCGCTGATTACAGATTATTCTATTGAAAACAATTTAGGTGAGTGAAAGCTGAATAAGCCTGGCTTTAGATGAATAGAGCGTTACGTAATCTTAGGTATGAGTGAATGAAACACGCAAAACAAATGGCATAACATCAAATGTAAGTAAGGATTTCTTGCATCCTCTATACATGTTTTTCGCAACAAATGTAATGGCAGTACTTTTTTTCCTCTGTTCGTAAAACCACTGCGACCAGTAATTTGATCTATTGTAGAATATCCCGTGTCCATAGTTTAGTGCATGTCGTATTACTACATCACTATTGAGAAATGATGAAGTATTCGGTTTTGATACAGTTGTCATTCTTGTATGTATCGCAAGGAATCGTTTCTAATTGAAAGGTCCCGTTATTTCTACCTTTCGAAGAGTGAGAGCACCCTTCAAAGGCACGGCCCTTTGTCAGTCAAAATTGGGTTCCTTAGCTGCAAAATTAAGCAATGACACCGATAATGAACATGCATCAGAACCCTAGTCCTAACCACTTCAAACTAGGGAACAACGAATAGAAGATTAGGAATCACATAGATGAAGACTAACTATCTCATTTTTTCCTTGTTTCAAGATCATCCTCGGTGGACAAAGCCAAGTCTTGTCAAAACATAAAAAAGTAACAAAGATTAATATATGTTCGGTGATATATCGAGATATATCGGTGGTAGATCTTACTTCCCAAAGCGTACTACAAAAAGATGATCTACCCACGTTACGGGGCATGACAGTTTTTCCAGAAAGTAAATTTTCGTATAAAACTTTCACGATATGATTTTCTAGCCTCAGTGCACTTGAGGAATCACACTTTGTTCAAAAATTGTTAGCTATATATATATAAAGAAATATTTTCAAAAAATCGTTATATAATCGGCTAATAAAAATTATGTATACCTTTTAGGCAAATCTAACATTTCCCGTAAATGTAAGATCACTGAGACTCACATATACGAGCGTCAATTTTGCCATAAAATTGTAAACGTGAAATTTAGCTCAATTAATTAGAACGGAGTGGATTCAACACAAACTACCTTGACAACCTATGCCTTAGTGATTTCTAGCAACACTGCCAATGTAATCAAGATAGGCACTTCTCGATTGGCTTTGACTTTGACAGTTTGGCTCAAAGCCAGCTAGTCCACTTTTCTGTTATACTAGACCCTCTCTATAATTAATCATACTTTTCGTCGAGTAACGAACATTTCAGCCCCGGAACACTTAATTTTACATGACACGATTATTTACGTTTCACCCTTTCTGTCAAAGATGGTTTCCGTCACGTGTAAAATAAGGGTGTAGAAAAATACGTAATTCACATGTGAACTTCAAACAATATAAATGATCATCAATTTCTTAAAATGTTAACGTTCGTTTACAAATTACTCATTTCCATCTATGTACATCTGACAATAACTTAACCAATAACACATAACCACACAAATAAAAATACTTTACCTTAACCTCCCGAAGATTCATGGCTTCCTCCCAGGAGTAGTACTTCCGCTTCATCCGCTTGATGGCAACCTTCTCACCGGTGTCTTTGCGTTGGCCAAGGACAACCGTTCCGTACGTGCCATCCCCCAGTTGGCTCAGCGTCAGGTAACGATTCATGATTGTTGCGGTTTTTGCCTGCAGTTTTCGTGCAGTTCCTACAGTTCACTCGAAATGCGGTCTCTGAGGACTTCTTCGTGCACCATTTTCTCAAAACCGCAAACAACTAAACACACAAACATATTTCCTTGTCCCATGTCACTCACTTGCAAGTTTTTTGCTTAGCAATTTTGCTTCACCTTAGGAAAAGTTTCCCCACTGCACTCTTTCGTAGGTCGTGGCTCCCGGGAGAGACTTGGTTCCATGTCTATGGGTAATAATGTGTTGCCTCGCCCTGGCAGTCGTCGTCACCATTTGATGTCCTTCCGTCGCCGTCGTTGTCGTCGTTTGGCTCAACCGAAAGTTCAATATGCAACATCACTCGTTAGGCCACTCCTGTGAGACTCATTAATATTCATCGTCGCTATTGTCTTGACTCGGCTGTTAAAGGGGACCGCACAGTCGCCGGTTCCAATTGGTCGGAAACGCTATGGGAAATGAAGGAAAATTCAAAACCAGTCAGCCAGTATGGGAAGAGAAAGAGAGAGCAATATTCTATAATTCACGTTCGGCCTGACGGGTGTCCTCAAACGAGGTTAGGCGATTTTTCTTCCGTTTTGCGACATACGAAGGCTGGGGAGGCGGTTACATGGAACAGTCGTCTTCGTTTTTCCCCCGAAAGGTAGCACAGGCTTTGAAAAAAATGTCAAACTAAAGGAAATGGTTGATGAGAAAAGTTGATAGCCACCTTCAGGGTTGATCTTTTTCTCACAAAATACTGTACAGCTTATGCACCTATCGTTGAAAAACAACGTATTTATTTATTTAATAGATGAATAGAATAAATGTAAAATTTTCGAAAAACAGTATCAGTTTTTTCAATCAGATTCAACCCTGATGTAATTCAATACCAACAGAAACTAGGTGAAGATGTGGGTGAACTAGTTCCCTACTATTACACTTCTCAACTTCAACCGTACCCGCCGCAATCTAGGTTTTCAGGTTTTCATGTATAATTAAGCAAATGTCTAAACTTTTAGATCGATTTCTGGTTAACCCGTGCAATTTTAGGTCACTCAGTATAAACCCAACACCCAACTGAACAAAACTACCCCTTCGAAGTTCCATTGGGAACCGTTCGACCGTGAAATTTGAACTTATCAAACAGATGCACCTATATAAATACATGCCAGACGCTCGTGAATACAAAGTAGACAATATATATGGCATGACGTTACTTTCCGACAAATTCATTGAATATTTTATGAACAACATAGGGGGAAACATGCTCAATGTTTGCTTTCTAATTCAAGCTATCGTAACTATGTGTATGGTAGTCAAATACGACATAAAAAAGTGAACCATCAGTCGGTATAAAATTGCAATTCAGTTGGGAAAAATTGATAATTATGCATCGATACGATCGATCCATAAGTATCAGTGAGCATGCTGTTATAATTACAGATATTAGAAGAGCATGTGACCCATTCCAGGTGACTTGACAAGCAGATTTTCGGTCCGTGATTACCATATTCGTTTAAAACTTCATAATATCACAATGCTATGTGCACCAATCGATTTACTTTGTTTTCCAATCGATAGTTATGAATATAGTCAATAATAAATGCTAATAGAAGTAATAAACTTCGTGTCGTGACTACGTTTATCTAGTTCTGTAAAGTAAACCTCAATTTAAAGTAATAACAACACAGAAAATGATAAACGTAGTTGAAAAGTCGCAGTGAAGAACTTCATGGAATGGGTCATGTGATGTTTTCCAGGGCGGAAACAGTAAATTAACCTGAAGGATCGATTTTATATCCTGGTGGACACCGATTACTGGTGACAACAATCAATACTCGTTTGCGTTAACATGCGATGTGACTTAATAAAATATTAATCATGGGAATGAAACTTCGACTTGAGCGCTCTCTCTGGAACCAATCATTTCTATAGTTCAATGTTTTATTCCCATAGTTCAAGGTCATGCGTGTTATTACGCGTCGAATAAAAGATTTTGAATGAATCACGCTTTGGGTTTTGATTTCATCACCTCAATAGTGTTTAGGGCTCAACATGTTTCATATGTTATCAAAATATCAGTTCTGATCATCTGAATCATAACTACTGAATAGAAATCAAACTAATCATGAATCAAAAACGATGACACCCAATTAGCCATAAATACGATAGCCATACGGACGTTTGCCATACAGATGGTTGCCATAAAAATTAGCCATAAGGTTATTTACGAATATGGATGATAACGATCAAGGTTGCTTCCACTCACTAGCTACAAAAAATATTTTCTAGTTTAAGTTCTAACTATCCTCAAAAGCAATATTACATATACCATAACAAGGTAGGAGAGCTTATATTACCCTCGAAGGAACCATTTTGAAATTTGGGCATAAGATTTAAAAAAAAAATGATAGAATTTATTGTAGAGATATGAATTTTTACTTACATGGTAGTTCAGTTTCAACATTACACCTACCCCAAACATCTATGAATTGATAGATTTTTAAGCCTCTACTCCACTTGTATTCGTAAATTGAGTGGCAATCACAATGACACTATTTGTCCATGGAAGGGGGTCTTTCTTGTAGGAGCATGGTGAAAGTTTCGCATAATGTGAACCCTAAGGGAAGTTTCCGAAAGATCTGGAACTAGCGTTCAAGTAGACAAACAGTCAATCTCGTGCTAGAGGTAGAAGTATGTGTATTTGAGATCTATTTTTGGCTGGCCCGTGTGTCAAAAAACAGGCGATAAGTTTTGTGAGTTCTCGGAAACCGTGAAATATTTTCATGCAGTGTAATAAGCATTTTTAAGGTTTCCATCAACTCAGCACGGTGTCATTATGAGTGTTTTTACACTTTTGAGAATCATTTCCAATATAGGGGAATTTACGTATTCTCGGCAACCTAAGCAGCGACCTTCTTTCTATAGCCTTTTTCTCTAAGGAACGCACACATATGCAGTATTGGTTTGTTTACAATCTTTTGCTGCCAGCTGCTCTAACAATTTCAGTCGAAAGAATTGTCAAAAACTGTTTTGAAACGCTTTTACAAAGCTCCAATCTTCTCTAGTGAGAGCGAGTATTGTCGGCAACCAGTTTTTCTTCGGCAACCGTTCCATTTGAACTGCGTGTAATTCTGCTGTTCTATTATCGACAACTCGAAATCAGCTACAATTTGTAGTAAGTGTGTTTCATTTCAAGAAAACCTTGCTAGTTTCCTTTTTTAAGTGGTAAAAATATAATCAAATTGAAGCTGAAAGCATAAAGAATCGTTTGCATGCATTCAGCGAAGTGTTTTCGTTAGAAAATCCAGTGAAAATAGTGTTTCAATTTGTGTTGCCGAAAATAGTCTGTCATGCCGAAGCCGTCATTTCCCCTATTTTTATTATATAGACACTTTATAAATTTTAGGTCATTTGTGATTGGCCAGGAATGAACTTTGAACACGTGACCTTTAGCGTGAGTAGTATGGACCACTACGCTGGGCCTGCCCCCTAATGAGTATTGGTAAGAACGTTTTGTTTTTTTTTTTTTCTTAATTAAAGAGCCTTTCAGCCCCTGTAAGAACGTTAATTATTGTGGAGTTTCGGTGTATTTAAAAATATTGTATTACTTCGTGCGTGATTTTAAGGATTGAATTGATGATTTATGATGATGGTCCCATCTCTGACCCCTACAAAGGTTTGAGCTGGACGATTTATCTTTAAGATAATTAAATGTGACATTTTAACCAGCTTTGCAAACAAAATCGAACTGGTTTCAGTTACAGATATAAATTCCCTCTAGAATTAACAGTTGCTTCACAGCGATATAAATATGGAAAAGCTCAGGCGTCCACCTCTTAGTTCGCCTTTTTGTTCACCTAAAATATTCATAAGTATTACAAGCGATCAAGAGTTAATGAACAATCAACAAAGTATCCCATTACACTAGCAACCCCGCAATCTGATGCTATCATAATTTTCAGCAATGTCAGGAATGCTCACGAACCCTCGATATTTGCCAAAAAACTTACTACTAACTCAAGGTTCTTCCAAATAAGCTTTAAAATTACATTTTTTTATCAAATCTTAAATTCAATCCTCTATATCCGTAATACGCGCGCGAGGCTCAAACCTTTGTAAACTTTTTTTTTAAATCTCCTACCATTAAATCAAATATAAGAAATCCATCATCACCATCGTGGCGAACAGAAATAGTTTTTGCAGTTCTACAATAATTATTAAAAAGTCGTTATGGCAGCTATCCACATAAAATAATCCGTTAGAGATAACTTCGTCAAGATACATGATTTGTCAATTCATAAAAAAAAATCACTGGATAACTGTTCAAAAGACACTTTTAACGTGAGAAATGAAGTGTCTTTTAAATTATTTAAGTGTTGCTGAACGTTTTATATGTCTAGGCATCGAATTGAAAACATTTATTCCTTTATAATATAATGAACTTTGTGAAGCACAAGTGGTGTTCTTATTTCAACCGCGTTTCTAGTGTTATATCTATGAAAGTCACTTCCTCTTTCATTTCGATCACACAATTATATCGAGGCAGCAAACCGTTAAAAATGAACACCATAGTCAAATATACAATTCTTTGCTTCACCGACAACCATTGTAAGGCGTCTAGCATCAAAGTTGAGGAAGTGAATCTATTACATCTCAAAATCAAACGCATTATTTTATTCTGCAAGCGCTGTAATCTCGATATTTGTGTTGCATTGGCCAGAAATAAAATGGAAGGGCAAAAGTCTAGGTGAGGAGAGATGATTGATTTGTATAGCTGTATTTTACTGGCAATAGTTAAATCGTTTTTCAGTCGACATAGAATTCCATCCTTCTGGGCAACTTTCTTGATGGCATTGTCAATGTGAGACTTGAACTTAAGTTTTTCATCAATAATCATGCCAAGATATTTTATCTCGCGAACGCGATCAATAGTCTCAGCATTAATTACAACAGAGACGTTCTCATTTACTCGATTCCGGGAAATTACCATAAATTTAGTTTTACTTGTATTCAATTTCAACTGCTTATACTTCAACCATCTACTGAGAAAACGCAAATCTTCATTCAAGTGTAAAACGGCATCATCTTAATCCTTAGCTGCAATGAATAACACAGTATTATCTGCAAAAAGATTAATATCGCAAAATCGTAAAACGCGTCGCACGTCATTAATATACATAATAAATAACACGGGCCTTAATACACTTCCCTGGGGCACTCCAAGGTTATTCCCCACGGGACTGGAAACAGAATCATTAAAAACAGTCCGTTGAGCTCTGTCAGACAAATAGCTTTCAAATCATTTATATGCAGTAC